AATATATCCCATTATTGTTTATTTAAAATATGATTCGTAAAAATAATATTTTAATGTTTGGAATCATATTTTAAATATGTAATAATATTTATGAAACAAAACATTTCGGGCTCTCTTATTTTTTAAAAATTTTTAAAAAAATACTATAAAAACTTTTGGATTTCGAAAATTTAAAAGATTTTGGAAATTTTTTTTACATTTAGCACACACACAACAAACACACATCAAAGAACATAATATCATATTTTTATATATATATTCTTTATATATAATTTTAAACTTCAATCAAAGAAATTCCATTTAACAGAATTGAAAATAAAAGTTTGAAATTGGGATAATTTGGTTAGTTTATGAATCCATTGGAACGAGACAAATGTCGAAGGATTTCACTTCTTACATGGCAGACGTCATAACAAAAATAGTCATTGGATTTATTATGACAAAGTGTTCCTCAAAAAAAGAAATAGAGTCGATATTTTAATGCAATGGATTTAACTTAGTTCCGTAAGCGATACTTATTCAGGTATGCGGATAATTTTTGGATTAAATTCTGATTCAATTGAATAATCATTTTGACCCAATACTCTTTCATTTGCCATTTTAAAAAAAAGGTAAAAATTACAATGAAGAAATAAAAAGCAATATGGGAATATTTAAAGCCCAGAATAATCTTCAACAGAATGCATATTTATCGGACGGCTATTTCGTTCTACACTGAATACTCATTTTCAGGCATAAAAATACAGAAATCGAAGTGGAAAAATTTACTAGTTTACAAGACTCTAAAAATTAATACCAATTATTATTTTTTGACATAAAGATATACAAAAAGATTCGATATTTCGTTATCACTCATGCAACTCCGCAATGAACATATTTAAATTAATATGAAAAATTTGAAAATAATACCTAAAATTTTGATATATATATATATATATATATATATATTTATATAAATATATTAAATAAATTTATATATATATATATATATATATATATATATATAGCATATGTTTCAAAAATCGACAGACAAGGTACTGATTTGATTTTTTTATTTAATTTTTCTTGTGTTCTCAACAAGAGCTATTTTCTGGACAAATGTGTTAATTTGTCCGAATCTAAATTTTACTATCACATTTAATATACACAGAACACAAAATTACTTATTTGATATTTGAATCATCTAAGGAAATCAGTTTTTTTAATCCATTTTCTCCTTAAAGCGCTACAAATATAAGAATTTCTTTTACAGAATATATATATATATGTGTTATATATATTGAAATTGGATTTGAAATTTTTATTTCATTTTTGTGAGGATGTTACAAATTTCTACAGGACATATTTATAAAAAAATATGTACAAACTCATCTTATATCATATTAAAATTAATCCAAATATATTAAAAAATTGTTTATTAGCTTGTATATCTAGATTTGAAGTTTTATTATTTTCAAAGTTAAAAATGTTATATATATTTTATACACAACTTTGAATTTGATTAAATATGGAATTCAATTTTCCGAATTTATTTCACTCTGATCTGATTCGAACATTAAAAATAAGATTTCAAACTTTCAAAAAAAAAAAAATCCATCTACAAAAGATATGTATTTGATTTATCCTTTATGTTATTAAATTAATTTTTGAAAAGGGAAAAGTTAAAATTTAAAAAATTTCAATCGTTAATTTTTCACATAATTAATAATAATAATAATAAATTTTATTTATGACATAATTGATAATTAATTTGGATAACAAATTTATAAGATTTTTCAAAAAAAAAAAATTTTTGAAAATAAATAACACGAATGAATTACATAAAGAACAAATATTATTATAATCAAAAATAAATTTATAAATTAAAAAACATTGCAAAAAGAATTCATGCCTTAAAAACAGATTTAAACATGAACTAAAGAATAAAATTAAAAATATTTATAAATTTTGTATATAAGTATATTTGATGAAAAAATAAATAATTTATTAGAAATTTTTTCTAAATTATTTTATATAATACTTTTTTTAATTTCAAACATATTAAAATCCTCATATCGTAAAAAAATGCAATGAATTTCCCAAAACAAGATGAAAAATTAAAAAAATAAATTATTAAATACCAAAATATAAAGTAACAAAAAATAAAAAAAAAAAAAAGAATTCTTCATATTGCACAAATATAGTATATTTTTTTTTTTTCCTTCGTCAATAAAAAATAAAACAAAATATATAATATTAAATTCGAATTTCAAAAACCAATTCTTCAAAATTCAATGTGTTTTTCTAAATATTATATCGTTTCAACGAAAAAATAATATATTTTTGTTGGTTTAAAAATAAATTTCATTTTCACGTTCTAAATGTTACATCTAAAATTATGAACATTAAAACAATTTAAAACTCCTGAATTTAAAACATTTTTCCGTAAATACAAAAAATAATTTTTAATTTTTATTCTTAAAATGAAAACAAATAAAAAAAAACTAAAATCACTTGAAGAAATTATACATCAAACAGTTGAAAACCTAAAACCTATAAAAAAATCAACTATAAAATCTCCACAAATGTTTGATAAATGTCTATTTTTGGTAAGAAGCCATTGGTTTATACCAATTTTTCCCATATATAAAATACTTAGAATTCACTCTGTTTTGGTCATGTGTGACGTCATGAGATGCGGTGCGATTTTCGCTTCTAGCGTCTTATATGCACGTGTTTATCGTTGCTTAGAAATCATCTATGTAAACAATGACAGACTATCATCACTGTCTTGTCCGTATATTGTTAATATGTTTGTAATTGACATCTTTGATAATGGCTTATGTAAGCCGAAAGCTTAGATTGATTAAAAAAAATATGGATCAATATTGTGATTTTTTTTCTTCGTTTAATGATAATGTTATTAAACTTATCAGACGTTATGAAAAGAATTTACATAAAATAAATAGAAACTTGTCACTTGTTTATATTATTTAATGAAAATATGTATATATATATATATATATATATATATATATATATATATATATATATATATATATATATATATATATATATATATATTGGGACATGTTATATAAAAGAATGTTTTTTTCCAATAATTGATTTTATTAACTAAACTAATCGATGAATGTCACATAAAAATTTGAATAAAAATTTTTATAATCCTATATATATATATATTTTTATTTAAATATGGAAATGCCAGAATATTGGAAAAAAATTCTGAATCCGAATACATATTTTTTTCAAAGACAAAAAAAAAGCGAGGCAAGTATTATGGAAGATATTTATATATTTATTTAGTTTAAATTTAGTAAAACTGATTTTTTTTGAAAATTTCCTTAAAAATAAAAAAAAAACGAAAAAAAAAAAACCTTATTGAAATAAAAATAATTTAAATTATGGATAAAAGAGTTTTTTTTTAAGAAAAATTTTCAGACCTTTATTATAAGAATATAAATATATTGAAGGTTTTAAGAATATATTTAAAAAATAAATAAAAATTTCTGGGACACATATTAAGGAAATTAATATATTTAAAATACTGAAAATCAAATAAATGAAAAGGAAAATTGAAATAAGGGAATAATAAAATATTTTTTTCTTTTATTTATTCAATATGTTTTTATAAAAAAGGTATTTTTATTGATGTTTATAATTTTATGTTGAGACAATTTTGAAGAAAGAAAATATTATATTTTTAAAGGGTTAGACGTTTACTTTTTAAATATTTTTTATTTAAAAAAAATTTATAATTTAAAAAAAAATCCTGGATAAACGAGTCTTTTCATACAAAACGGATTCGAATAATGACCCATGAATGAGAAAATTTAAAAGAAAGTAAAACTTTCTCAAAATGTTATGTAAAAAAATAAGATGAGATAAGAATTGATAAATATAGGAAATGAACATTTGGGCAAATTTGGTTTAATTTAAGATTTTGGGACAATAATTATTGAATAAACTTGGAAAATCTGAAAAAAAGAATACATTTAAGACAAAAAAGAGGCAGATGAAGTTATGTTGAAAGAAATGATCAAAGAAAATGAAGAATTTGATAAATGATGATTTAGAAAATAGAGGACGGGGAAATGTTTCTGGAATAAATAGATGATTCACATATAAAATTAATAGAATGAAAGAAATAAATAAAATTAAAAAAAAAAGAGGCATAAGTCATTTTAAAAAATTTGATTTAAAAGGTTTTTAAATAAAAAAACGATATATTGAAATCAAAAGAAAAAAAAATTCCTGAAAAGAACTGGAAAAAATTAAACATGGAAGAATTGAAAAATTTTTCTTTTTCAAATAAGAAGTTGAAAATGTAGATATTAAAAATTAAACAGGAATGAGGAAAGAGGTATGAAGTTTGACATATACAGTTTTGAATAGAGGGATATAAAATATTAAAGAAAATATATATAAATAATGAAAATTTAGGAAGAAAAAGCTGAAGTTTTGGGAAATATAATGAGAAAGTTTTTCCTGGAGAATCTGATTTAAAATTGAATAGAGGAAAGAGGGAAAAAAAAAGAAAAAAAAAAAGGCTTAAATTTAATATAAGGAAGAGGCAGCTGAATGTTTCTGGGACACATAATGAGGAAAGAGGTCCTGGAGAATCTGATACTCATGGGGTAAGAAAAAAGGAAAGAGAAAACTGGAAATCTGATAAGGGAGGGTCGAATTCTTAATATCAGGAAGAGGCAGCTGAAGTTTCTGGGACACATAATGAGGAAGGAGGTCCTGGAGAATCTGATACTCACGGGTTGAATAGAGGAAAAGAGACAAAGGAAGGAAAATATACTTAATAAGGAAGAGTTATTTGGGACACATAATGAGGAAGGAGAGGGCCTGGAGAATCTGATAATGGGTTGAATAGAAAAATGAGGAAAAAGGGCTTATTTAATTCTGGGAGAACAAAATGGGAAATCTATTTGAAGCTGAACTGCTGAGAGAAAATAGGAAAAGAGGGAAGAAGCTTGAATTTATTTTAATAATCAGGAAGAAACCTGAGAAAAAATGGGAACAGAATGAAAGAAAGGAGAGGAAGGAGAATCTGATTTTGGGACACATATAATGAGGAAGGAGGGCCTGGAGAATTTGAATGAGGACAAACAGAGGGAATAGAGGAAAGAGAGGAAGAGGCATATTTAATGAAGTTTCTGGGACACATAATGAGGAAAGAGGTCCTGGAGATCTGATACTCATGGGTTGAATAGAGGGAAAAGAGAGAAAAAGAAAGGAGAAGGATTTGGGACACAGAAAATAAGGAGGAGGAAAAGGCTGAGAATGATTTTCTGGGACAGATTGAGGAAGGAGGATTGGAGAATCTGGGACATTAATGAGGAAAGAAATAGAAAATCTGAGACAAAGAAGGGAATAGAGGCTTATACTTAATATCAGGAAGAGGCAGCTGAAAGTTTCTGGGACACATAATGAGGAAAGAGGTCCTGGAGAATCTGATACTCATGGGTTGAATAGAAAGGAAAGGAAAGAAACAAAGAAGGAAATAACTTATACTTTTAAAATCAGGAAAGAGAAGCTGAAGTTTCTGAAAACATAATGAGAAAGAAAGGTCCTGGAGACAATGATACTCATGGATTGAATAGAGGAAAGAGAGACAAAGAATTGATACCACGGGTTATACTTAATATCAGGAAGAGGGCAGCTGAAGTTTCTGGGGAAACACATAATGAGGAAAGAGGTCCTGGAGAATCTGATATTCACGGGTTGAATAGGGGAAAAGAGAGACAAAGAGGCTTATAAGGAGGAAACACAGGAATTTTCTGGGACACATAATGAGGAAAGAGGTCCTGGAGAGTTGAAGAACGGGTCGAACAGGAAAAGAGACAAAGAAAGAGGCCTATTTCTGAATACTGGGACATAAAGAGGAAGGAGGTCCTGGAGAAATACTCACGGGGAAAGAGGAAAGAGAGACAAGGAAGCTCTTTATACTTAATATCAGGAAGAGGCAGAATGAGGTTTCTGGGACACATAATGAGGAAAGAGGTCCTGGAGAATCTGATACTCATGGGTTGAATAGAGGGAAAGAGAGACAAAGAAGAAGGAGGCTTATGAACTTAATATCAGGAAGAGGCAGCTGAAGTTTCTGGGACACATAATGAGGAAGGAGGGCCTGGAGAATCTGATACTCACGGGTTGAATAGAGGGAAAGAGAGACAAAGAAAGGAGGGGCTTATACTTAATATCAGGAAGAGGCAGCTGAAGTTTCTGGGACACATAATGAGGAGGGTCTGGAGAATCTGATACTATGTGGGTTGAATAGAGGGAAAGAGAACAAAGAAAAAAAGGAGGAGGTTTATACTTAATATCAGGAAGAGGCAGCTGAAATTTTCTGGGACACATAATGAGGAAAGAGGTCCTGGAGAATCTGATACTCAGGGGTTGAATAGAGGAAAGAGAGACAAAGAAGGAGGAGGCTTATACTTAATATCAAGAGGAAGAGGCAGCTGAAGTTTCTGGGACACATAATGAGGAAGGAGGGCCTGGAGAATCTGATACTCATGGGTTGAATAGAGGGAAAGAGAGACAAAGAAGGAGGAGGCTTATATTTAATATCAGGAAGAGGCAGCTGAATTTTTGAGGGACACACATAAATAAGGAAGTTTTCCTGAGAATCTGATACTCACGGGTCGAATAGAGGGAAAGAGATTTTAAAGAAGGAGGAGGCTTATACTTAATATCAGGAAGAGGCAGCTGAAGTTTCTGGGACACATAATGAGGAAGGAGGGCCTGGAGAATCTGATACTCACGGGGTAAGGAGAGAGACAAGAGAAGGAAAAAGGATATATTTAATATCAGGAAGAGGCAGCTGAAGTTTCTGGGACACATAATGAGGAAGAGGGCCTGGAGAATCTGATACCACGGGTTGAATAGAAAAAAGAGAGACAAAGAAGGAGGAGGCTTATACTTAATATCAGGAAGAGGCAGCTGAAGTTTCTGGGACAACATAATGAGGAAAGAGGTCCTGGAGAATCTGATACTCATGGGTTGAATAGAGGGAAAGAGAGACAAAGAAGGAGGAGGCTTATACTTAATATCAGGAAGAGGCAGCTGAAGTCAGAGACACATAATGAGGAAGGAGGTCCTGGAGAATCTGATACTCATGTCTAAGGAGGAAAAGAGAGGTAAAGGAGAATCTAACAAAATCAGGAAGAGGCAGCAATGATTTTCTGGGAATAGAAAGGGAAAGAGAGCCTTGAAATCTGAAGGAGGTTGAATAGAGGGGAAGATCAGGAGGGAGGAGGCTGAAGTTTATCAGGACACATAATGAAGGAAAGGACATAATGAGGAGAATCCTGAGAATCCACTCAGGGTTTGAATAGAGGGAAAGAGAGACAAAAAAGGAGGAGGCTTATACTTAATATCAGAAAGAGGCAGCTGAAGTTTCTGGGACACATAATGAGGAAAGAAAGAGGCCTGGGAGAATCTGATAAAGGAAGAATACAAGAAGAGAGGATAAAGAAGAGGGAAAGAGAGACAAAGAAGGAGGAAGGCTTAGACTTAATATCAGGAAGAGGCAGCTGAAGTTTCTGGGACACATAATGAGGAAGGAGGGCCTGGAGAATCTGATACTCACGGGTTGAATAGAGGGAAAGAGAGACAAAAGAAGGAGGAGGCTTATACTTAATATCAGGAAGAGGCAGCTGAAGTTTCTGGGACACATAATGAGGAAGGAGGGCCTGGAGAATCTGATACTCACGGGGTTGAATAGAGGGAAAGAGACAAACAAAGAAGGAGGAGGCTTATACTTAATATCAGGAAGAGGCAGCTGAAGTTTCTGGGACACATAATGAGGAAGGAGGGCCTGGAGAATCTGATACTACAGGGGTTGAATAGAGGGAAAGAGAGAAAAAGAAGGAGGAGGCTTATATTAATATCAGGAAGAGGCAGCTGAAGTTTCTGGGACACATAATGAGGAAGGAGGCCTGGAGAATCTGATACTCACGATGGGTTGAAATAGAGGGAAAGAGAGAAAAGAAGGAGGAAAGAATACTTAATATCAGGAAGAGGCAGCTGAAGTTTCTGGGACACATAATGAGGAAGGAGGGCCTGGAGAATCTGATACTCACGGGTTGAATAGAGGAAAGAGAGACAAAGAAGGAGGAGGCTTATACTTAAGAATCAGGAAGAGGCAGCTGAAGTTTCTGGGACACATAATGAGGAAAGAGGTCCTGGAGAATCTGATACTCACGGGTTGAATAGAGGGAGGGAAAGAGAGAAAAGAAGAAGGAGGCTTATACTTAATATCAGGAAGAGGCAGCTGAAGTTTCTGGGACACATAATGAGGAAAGAGGTCCTGGAGAATCTGATACTCACGGGGTTGAATAGAAGGGAAAGAGAGAAAAAGAAGGAGGAGGCTTATACTTAATATCAGGAAGAGGCAGCTGAAGTTTCTGGGACACATAATGAGGAAGGAGGGCCTGGAGAATCTGATACTCACGGGTTGAATAGAGGGAAAAGAGACAAAGAAGGAGGAGGCTTATACTTAATAGGAGGAAGAGGCAGCTGAAGTTTCTGGGACACATAATGAGGAAGGAGGGCCTGGAGAATCTGATACTCAGGGGTTGAATAGAGGGAAAGAGAGACAAAGAAGGAGGAGGCTTATACTTAATATCAGGAAAGAGGCAGCTGAAGTTTCTGGGACACATAATGAGGAAGGAGGTCCTGGAGAATCTGATACTCACGGGTTGAATAGAGGGAAAGAGAGACAAAGAAGGAGGAGGCTTATACTTAATATCAGGAAGAGGCAGAGAAGTTTCTGGGACACATAATGAGGAAAGGAGGTCCTGGAGAATCTGATACTCACGGGTTGAATAGAGGGAAAGAGAGACAAAGAAGGAGGAGGCTTATACTTAATATCAGGAAGAGGCAGCTGAAGTTTCTGGGACACATAATGAGGAAAGAGGTCCTGGAGAATCTGATAGAACGGGTTGAATAGAGGGAAAGAGAGAAAAAAGAAAGAAAGGAAACTTATACTTAATATCAGGAAGAGGCAGCTGAAGTTTCTGGGACACATAATGAGGAAGGAGGGCCTGGAGAATCTGATACTCACGGGTTGAATAGAGGGAAAGAGAGACAAAGAAGGAGGAGGCTTATACTTAATATCAGGAAGAGGCAGCCTGAAGTTTCTGGGACACATAATGAGGAAAGAGGGAAAGAGGAGAATCTGATAAAGAAGGGGTTGAATAGAGGGAAAAGAGACAAAGAAGGAGGAGGCTTATACTTAATATCAGGAAGAGGCAGCTGAAGTTTCTGGGACACATAATGAGGAAGGAGGGCCTGGAGAATCTGATACTCACGGGTTGAATAGAGGGAAAGAGTGACAAAGAAGGAGGAGGCTTATTCATATTAATATCAGGAAGAGGCAGCTGAAGTTTCTGGGACACATAATGAGGAAAGAGGGCCTGGAGAATCTGATACCAAAGGGGGTTGAATAGAGGGAAAGAGAGACAAAGAAGGAGGAGGCTTATACTTAATATCAGGAAGAGGCAGCTGAAGTTTCTGGGACACATAATGAGGAAGGAGGTCCTGGAGAATCTGATACTCACGGGTTGAATAGAGGGAAAGAGAGACAAAGAAGGAGGAGATTTATATTTAATATCAGGAAGAGGCAGCTGAAGTTTCTGGGACACATAATGAGGAAGGAGGGCCTGGAGAATCTGATACTCATGGGGTTGAATAGAGGGAAAGAGAGACAAAGAAAGGAGGCTTAAGAATAAAGAAGGAAGAGGCAGCTGAAGTTTCTGGGACACATAATGAGGAAAGAGGTCCTGGAGAATCTGATACTCACGGGGTTGAATAGAGGGAAAAGAGACAAAGAAAGGAGGCTTATACTTAATATCAGGAAGAGGCAGCTGAAGTTTCTGGGACACATAATGAGGAAGGAGGGCCTGGAGAAATGATACTGATAGGGAAGAGGGTTGAATAGAGGAAAAAGAGAGAAAAAGAGGGAGGAGGTTTATACTTACATAATGAGGAAAGAGGGCCTGGAGAATCTGAAGGTTGAATCTGGGACACAGGAGGAATGAGGAAGGAGGGAGGTCCTTGAAGTTTCTGGGACACATAATGAGGAAAGGAAAGAGGGTTGAATAGAGGAAAAAGAAAAGAGACAAAAAGGAGGAGGCTTATACTTAATATCAGGAAGAGGCAGCTGAAGTTTCTGGGACACATAATGAGGAAGGAGGGTCCTGGAGAATCTGATACTCACGGGTTGAATAGAGGGAAAGAGAGACAAAGAAAGAAGAGGCTTATATTTAATATCAGGAAGAGGCAGCTGAAGTTTCTGGGACACATAATGAGGAAAGAGGTCCTGGAGAATCTGATACTCACAAGGTTGAATAGAGGGAAAGAGACAAAGAAGGAGAAAGGCTTATCAGGAAGGAAGAGCAGCTGAAGTTTCTGGGACACATAATGAGGAGGGAGGTCCTGGAGAATCTGAGGGATTGAGGGAAAGAGGGAAAAAATCACAAAGAAGGAGGAGGCTTATACTTAATATCAGGAAGAGGCAGCTGAAGTTTCTGGGACACATAATGAGGAAGGAGGTCCTGGAGAATCTGATACTCACAAGGGTTGAATAGAGGAAAAGAGAGAAAAAGAAGGAGGAGCTTATTATACTTAATATCAGGAAGAGGCAGCTGAAGTTTCTGGGGACACATAATGAGGGAAGAGGCCTGGAGAATCTGATACTCACGGGTTGAATAGAGGAAAAGAAAGAGAGACAAAGAAGGAGGAGGCTTAGAATTAATATGAGGAAGAGGCAGCTGAAGTTTCTGGGACACATAATGAGGAAGGAGGTCCTGGAGAATCTGATACTCACGGGTTGAATAGAGGGAAAGAGAGACAAAGAAGGAGGAGGCTTATATTTAATATCAGGAAGAGGCAAGGAAATTTCTGGGACACATAATGAGGAAAGAGGTCCTGGAGAATCTGATACTCACAGGGGTTGAATAGAGGGAAAGAGAGACAAAGAAGGAGGAGGCTTAGACTTAATATCAGGAAAGAGAATGAAGCTGAAGTTTCTGGGACACATAATGAGGAAGGAGGTCCTGGAGAATCTGAGACACTAATGAGGGTTGAAGGGAGGAAAAGAGAGACAAAGAAAGAGGAGGCTTATACTTAATATCAGGAAGAGGCAGCTGAAGTTTCTGGGACACATAATGAGGAAGGAGGGCCTGGAGAATCTGATACTCAGTTTCTGGGGTTGAATAGAGGGAAAAGAGACAAAGAAAGAACATTCATATTATAGAGAAATAGAAGGAAGAGGAATTGAAGTTTGGGGGACATAATGAGGAAGGAGGTCCTGGAGAATCTGATACTCAAGAGGGTTGAATAGAGGAAAGAGAGACAAAGAAGGAGGAGGCTTATACATTAATATATCAGGAAGAGGCAGCTGAAGTTTCTGGGACACATAATGAGGAAAGAGAGATTCCTGGAGAATCTGATACTCACGGGTTGAGGGAAAGAAAAAGAGAGAAAGGAAGGAGGCTTATACTTAATATCAGGAAGAGGCAGCTGAAGTTTCTGGGACACATAATGAGGAAGGAGGGGAAAGGAGAATCTGAACCTTCAAAAAGGGAATAGGAAAAGAGGGAAAGAGACACAAAGAGAAGGAGGAAAGAACTGATACCATTGAATAGAGAAAAGAGGAAAGGAGGAAGGAAGAGGCAGCTGAAATTTCTGGGACACATAATGAGGAAGGAGGGCCTGGAGAATCTGATAAATGGGTTGAATAGAGGGAAAGAGAGACAAAGAAGAAGGAGGCATTATATTTAGAAAGAGGAAGAGGCAGCTGAAGTTTCTGGGACACATAATGAGGAAGGAGGGTTGGAGAATCTGATACTCACGGGTTGAATAGAGGGAAAGAGAGACAAAGAAGAGAGGGAGGCTTATTTATTAGAAGGAAGAGGCAGCTGAAGTTTCCTGAATAAGAGGAAGGAAGGTCCTGGGAAGAAAGGAATAGAGGAGGGAAAGAGAGGGAAAGGGAAGAGATTATTAAAGGGAAGATCAGGAAGAGGCACAGAAGTTTATTCAGAGAGAGGAAAGAAGGAGAATCTGATACTCAGGGTCGAATAGAGGAAAGAGAGGGAAAAGGCAGATATTAATATCAGGAAAGATGAAGTTTCTGGGACACATAATGAGGAAGGAGGTCCTGGAGAATCTGATACTCACGGGTTGAAAGAGGGAAAAGAGACAAAAAGGAGGAGGCTTATATTAATATCAGGAAGAGGCAGCTGAAAGTTTCTGGGACACATAATGAGGAAGGAGGGTCCTGGAGAATCTGATACACACGGGTGAATAGAGGGAAGAGAGGGAAAATTAGAGGAAAAGAGGCAGCTGAAGTTTCTGGGACACATAATGAGGAAGAGGGCCAGGAGAATCTGATGGGACACGGGTTGAATAGAGGGAAAGAGAGGAAAGAAGAGATATTACTGAGGGAAGAGAGGGAGGTTGATTGAGGAAGAAGGGAAGAGACATTCATACATAATGAGGAAAGAGGTCCTGGAGAATCTGATACATGGGTTGAATAGAGGAAAGAGAGACAAAGGGGAGGAAGAGGAAGAGGCAGCTGAAGTTTCTGGGACACATAATGAGGAAGGAGGGCCTGGAGAATCTGATACTCACGGGTTGAAGAAGAGGGAGAAAGAGAGGAAGAGAGGAAAGAGGCAGATGAAGTTTCTGGGACACATAATGAGGAAAGAGGTCCTGGAGAATCTGATACTCAGGTTGAATAGAGGAAAGAGGGGAAGAGAGGGGAGGGCTTAGAATGAAGAGGGAAGAGGCAGCTGAAAGTTTCTGGGACACATAATGAGGAAAGAGGTCCTGGGGGAATCTGATACTTAACGGGTTGAATAGAGGGAAAAGAGAGGAAAAGGTCAGGAGAGGACACATAATAGGAAATATCAAGAAGAGAAGAGCTGAAAGTTTTGGGACACATAATGAGGAAAAGAGGACAGATAATGAGGAAGAGAATCTGAGAATCTGATACTCATGGGAATAGAAAAAGAGGGAAGGAGGAGAAGATATACTTAATATCAGGAAGAGGCAGGAAGTTTCTGGGACACATAATGAGGAAAGAGGTCCTGGAGAATCTGATACTCACGGGGAATAGAGGGAAAAGAGACAAAGAAGGAGGTCATCAGAAAGAACAGCTGAAGTTTCTGGGACACAGATGAGGAAAGAGGGCCTGGAGAATCTGATACTCACGGGTTGAATAGAAGGGAAGAGAGACAAAGAAGGAGGAGGCACTTAAAGACAGTTATGGGACACAGGATGAGGAAAGAGGTCCTGGAGAATCTGATATCAGAAATATTCAAAGAGAGAAAGAAGAGGAACTTAATATCAGGAAGAGGAAAGTTTCTGGGACACATAGAGAGGAAAGAGGGCCTGGAGAATCTGATACTCACGGGTTGAATAGAGGGAAAGAGAGGGAAGATCAGAAAGCTTATAGAATATTCAGGGAGACAGGAAAAAGGAAGATAAAGAGAAAGAGGACCTGGAGAAATCTGGACACATCGAATAGAGGGAAAGAGAGGGGAGGAGAGAATCTGATACTGAAATATTCATATACTGGGACAGAAGGAGGAAAGAAAATTGAAAGGAAGGATATACATAATGAGGAAAGAGAATCTGAAACTCACGGGTCACAGGTCGAATAGAGGGAAAGAGAGGAAGAGGCAGCTGAAGTTTCTGGGACACATAATGAGGAAGGAGGGCCTGGAGAATCTGATACTCACAGGGTTGAATAGAGGAAAGAGAGACAAAAGGGCTTATACTTAATATCAGAAAGTTTCTGAAGGGACACAGAATGAGGAAAGAGGTCCAGGAGAATCTGACTCATGGACACGAAATGAGGAAAGAGAGGGAAAGAAAAGCTTAATTATTTTGAGGACACATAAGAGGAGGGAAAGGAAGATATTATCACGGGTTGAAAGAGGGAAAAGAGATCGAAAGGAGAGGCTTAAAAGATCAGGAAGAGGCAGCTGAAGTTTTGGGACACAAGGAAAGGAAGGAGGGCCTGGAGAATCTGATACTCACAAGGTTGAATAGAGGGAAAGAGAGACAAAAGGTCATCAGAAAGAACATGGGAGGAAATGAGGAAAGAGATACAGATGATTTTCTGGGACACATAAAAGGAAGGGGGGCCTGGAGAGGGAAAGATACATAAAGAGGAAAGAGGGCCTGGAGAATAGAGGGAAAGAGACAAAGAAGAGGAGAAAGAAGGGAAAGAGGCAGCTGAAAGTTTTGGGACACAAGAGAGAGGAAAGAGGGCCTTGGAGAATCTGATATCACAAGGGGAAAGAGAGGAAAGTCAAAGAAGGAGAACATTCATATTAATGAGGGAAGAGGCAGCTGAAGTTTCTGGGACACATAATGAGGAAGGAGGGCCTGGAGAATCTGATATTCACGGGTTGAATAGAGGGAAAAGAGACAAAGAAGAAGGAGAACATTATCAGAAAGAGGCAGGGAAGTTTCTGGGACAGAAGGAAGGAAGGGACAGAATCTGAAATACTGAATAGAAATAAGGAGGAGGAAAGATTGGAATTAAACCTGATGGGAACATAATGAGGAAAAGGAGGGCCTAGGTTGAATAGAGGGAAAGAGAGACAAAGAAGGAGGATATTATTCAGAATGGAAGAAAGAGGCAGCTGAAGTTTCTGGGATATTATAATGAGGAAGGAGGGTCCTGGAGAATCTGAACTCAGAAGGGAAAGGGTTGAATAAGGAAAGAGAGGGAAAAAGAGAAAGAAAGAGGGAAGCAGATATTATTAGAGGAATAGAGGAAGATACAGATACAGATAGAGAAGACAGCTGAAGTTTCTGGGACACATAATGAGGAAAGAAAAATTGGAGAATCTGATACTCACGGGGAAAGAGGGAAAGAGACAAAAAGGAGAAAGAACATTAATATCAGGAAGAGGCAGCTGAAGTTTCTGGGACACATAATGAGGAAAGAGGGCCTGGAGAATCTGATATTATTGAATAGAGGGAAAGAGAGGAAAGGGAAATAAGGAAAAGAGGGAAAGGCAGCTGAAGTTTCTGGGGGAAGAGGAAGAAAGGCCTGGAGAATCTGATATCATTGAATATACAGAATAGAAGGAAGAGGCAGCTGAAAGTTTCTGGGACACATAATGAGGAAGGAGGGCCTGGAGAATCTGATACTCACGGAATGAATAGAGGGAAAGAGAGGGAAAGAAGGGAAAGGTTTATACAGATATTCATAAGAGGAAGAGGAGGGAGAATTTACACGGGGGACGAATAGAGAGGAAGAGAGGGATTGGAGAAGATGATATTCTGGGGGTTGAATAGAGGGAAGGTCAAATAATGAGGAAAGAGGGAGAGAACTGATACACATATAGAGGGAAAGAGAGGGAAGAGGCAGCTGAAGTTTCTGGGACACATAATGAGGAAAGAGGTCCTGGAGGGCCTGGAGAATCTGATACTCAGGGGAGGAATAGAGGGGAAGAGAGGAAAAGCAGAAGTTTCTGGGACACATAATGAGGAAAGAGGCCTGGAGAATCTGATAATTCAGAGAGGGAAAGAGGAGAAAGAGAGAAAGGAAAGGATACAGATATTAATTTCTGGGACACTGGGATAATGAGGAAAGAGGTCCTGGAGAATATGATACTCATGGGGAAAGAGGGAAAAGAGACAAAGAAGGAGGGAGGAGAGGGAAGAATGAAGGAAGAGGCAGCTGAAGTTTCTGGGAAACATAATGAGGAAGGAGGGCCTGGAGAATCTGATACCATGATTGAATAGAGGGAAAGAGACAAAGAAAGAGGATACAGATATTAATAGAGGAAGAGGCAGCTGAAGTTTCTGGGACACACATGAGGAAGGAGGTCCTGGAGAATCTGATATATTTAACAGGGAAAGAGGGAAAGAGGAAAGAAAAGGAGCTCATCTTAGATAAAGGAAGAGGCAGAATGAAGTTTCTGGGACAGATAATAGAGGAAGAGAGGAGGAGGGGAGAATCTGATACTCAAGAGTTGAATAGAGGGAAAAAAGAGAGACAAAGAAGGAGATTTATATTTAGAAGAGAGGGAAGAGGCAGCTGAAGTTTCTGGGACACATAATGAGGAAGGAGGGCCTGGAGAATCTGATTCATGAGGAATAGAGGAAAAAAGAGACAAAGAAGAAGGAGGATTATACTTAGATATGAGGAAGAGGCAGCTGAAATTTCTGGGACACATAATGAGGAAGAGGGCCTGGAGAATCTGATACAGAGGGGTTGAAAAGAGGGAAAGGAGACAAAGAAGGAGGATTATACAGATAATATCAAGAAGAGGCAGCTGAAGTTTCTGGGACACATAATGAGGAAGGAGGGCCTGGAGAATCTGATACTCACGGGTTGAATAGAGGGGGAAAGAGAGGGAAAGAACATACATATTCAGAATGAGGAAGAGACAGCTGAAGTTTCTGGGACACATAATGAGGAAGGAGGTCCTGGAGAATCTGATATATTCATGGAATAGAGGGAAAGAGCAAAAAGAAAAAGAACATATTATTAGAGGAAGAGAGAGGGAAAGTTTCTGGGACACATAATGAGGAAGAGGTCCTGGAGAATCTGATACTCACGGGCATGAATAGAGGGAAAGAGAGTCAGATATTAATATCAGAATGAAGAAGAGACAGCTGAAGTTTCTGGGACACATAATGAGGGAAGAGGGCCTGGAGAATCTGATACTCAGGGTTGAATAGAGGGAAAAGAGAGGGAAAAACATATTAATATCAGGAAGAAGCAGCTGAAGTTTCTGGGACACATAATGAGGAAAGAGAGGAAAGAATCAGATATCCAGAGAGGGAAAGAGACAAAGAAAGGAGGATATTAATAGGAAAGAGAGGGAAAGAGAGACACAGAAGAGGAAAGAGGTCCTGGAGAATCTGGGACACATAATGAGGAAGAGAGGAAAGAGAGAAAAAATACCACAGATAGGCATATAGAGGGAAAGAGAGGAAGAGGCAGCTGAAACATTCTGGGACACATTCAGAAGAAGAAGGAGGTCCTGGAGAATCTGATACTCAGGGGTTGAAAGAGAGGAAGAGAGGATTATTATTAAAAAGAAGAGGCAGCTGAACAGGGACACATTGAGGAAGGAGGGAGGGCCTGAGATCATGAGAGGGAAAGGGAAAAGAAGAGAGGAAAGAGAGGGAAGAGGCAGCTGAAGTTTCTGGGACACATAATGAGGAAAGAGGGCCTGGAGAATCTGATACTCACGGGTTGAATAGAGGGAAAGACAGGAAGGAGGAGGAAGAGAGGGAAAGAGACAGATATTATTGGGAGAGGAAGAGGAAGGTCCTGGAGAATATTGATACCACGGAAGAATAGAGGAAGAGAGACAAAGGAAAGAGGAAAGGCTTGATATTTGGAGGGACAGGGAAAGGAAAAGATCATGAGGAAAAAGAAGGTCCTGGATATTCTGAATCAAGGGTCGAAGAGAGAAAGGAAGGAGGATTAATGAGAGAAAGAGGAGGGAAGTTTCTGGGACACATATGAGGAAAGAGGGAAGAGAGGAAATGGGTCGAATAGAGATAGAGAGAAAGGGGGAAGAGAGGGAAAGAGACAGAAGAAGGGAAGATGAGGAGAAAGAATCTGATAGACGGGTCGAAGAGGGAAAGAGGAAAGAGGTACAGATATTAATGAGGGAAGAGAGGAATTGGAAAGATAGGATGGACAGAGGGAAGAGAGGAAAGGAGGAAAAAGATACAAAGAGGGAAGAAGAGGATCATATTCAGAATCAGGAAGAAGCAGCTGAAGTACCAGACACATAATGAGGAAAGAGGGCCTGGAAAATACTGATATTTCACGAGGGAATAGAGGAAAGATACAGAGATTCGAGGGAAAAGAGGGAAGATACAGATATTATGAAGAGGAAAGACAGCTGAAGTTTCTGGGACACATAATGAGGAAAGAGGTCCTGGAGAATCTGATATTCACAAGGGTTGAGGAGAGGGAAAAGGACAAAGAAGGAGGAGGCTTATATTCAGAAAGAGAAGAGGCAGCTGAAGTTTCTGGGACACATAATGAGGAAGGAGGGCCTGGAGAATCTGACCTTCACAAGGCATGAATAGAGGGAAAGAGAAAAGGAAAGAGGAGGCTTATATATATGAGGAAGAATGAGGAAAGAGGGCAGCTGATTTTCTGGGACACATAATGAGGAAAGAGGGGAAGGAGGGAAAGAGGACAGATATTATTACTGGGGACAGATAAGAGGGAAGGATGAAGAAAGGGAAGAGAGGAAAGAGGAATATATTAAGAGAGGGAAGAGGCAGCTGAAGTTTCTGGGACACATAATGAGGAAAGAGGTCCTGGAGAATCTGATACTCACGGGTCGAAAAGAGAGGAAAGAGAGGGAAAGCTAAAGTTTCTGGGACACATAAGAGGAAAGAGAGGAGAATTGATACCACGGTTGGGAATCAGAAGAGACAAAGAAGGAGAGAGGAAGAGGCAGCTGAAGTTTCTGGGACACATAATGAGGAAAGAGGTCCTGGAGAATCTGATACTCACGGGTTGAATAGAGGGAGAAAAAGTCATCAGAAAAAGAAGAGGAATTATTAGATTAAGAATGAGGAAGAGGCAGCTGAAGTTTCTGGGACACATAATGAGGAAGAGAGGTCCTGGAGAATCTGATATTCTGGGGGTTGAATAGAGGGAAGAATTAAGACAAAGAGGAAGGATTCTTATATATTAATGATCAGGAAGAGGCAGCTGAAGTTTCTGGGACACATAATGAGGAAAGAGGGGTCCTGGAGAATCTGAGATCATTGAATAGAGAGGAAGAGAGACAAAGAAAGGTCATCAGATACATTAATATTCAGAGGAAGAAGGAAAGGCAGAATTTTCTGGGACACATAATGAGGAAAGAGGGGATTGGAGAAAGAGAGGGAAAGGGTTGAATAGAGGAAAGAGGAAAAAAGGAAGAGGCTTACAGATATTATTGAAGAAAGAGCTGAAGTTTCTGGGACACATAATGAGGAAAGAGAGAGGAGAAGATACAGATGAATAGAGGGAAAGAGAGAGAAACAAAGAAGGAGGAGGCTTATATTAGATCAGGAAAGAGCAGGAAGTTTCTGGGACACATAATGAGGAAAGAGCCTGGAGAATCTGATACTCACGGGGGAGGGAAAGAGAGAAAGGAGAGGCTTATACTTAAAATCAGGAAGAGGCAGATGAAGTTTCTGGGACACATAAAGAGGGAAAGAGGGCCTGGAGAATATGATACTCATGGGGAAGAGAGGAAAGAGGGAAAGAGAGGAAGAGGAAGGAGCTGAGGTTTCTGGGACACATAATGAGGAGGAGGAGAGGGCCAGAGAGAATCTGAGACCCACGGGTCGAATAGAGAGGAAAGAGAGGAAGAGGCAGCTGGAGTTTCTGGGACACATAATGAGGAAAGAGGAAGAGAGAATCTGATACCACGGGTCGAATAGAGGGAAGAGGGAAAGAGGCATTTAACTTAATATGGGAGAGGCACATGAAAGAGGAAGAGGGCCAGAGAATCTGATATTCACGGGTTGAATAGAGGGAAAGAGAGGGAAAGAGAGGGAAGAGGCAAAGTTTCTGGGACACATAATGAGGAAAAGAGGTCCTGAAAGAATCTGATACCACGGGGGAATAGAGGAAAAAGAGAGACAAAGAGGCAAAGAGAGCTTATACTTAATATTCAGAAAGAGGGGAAGAGAGGAAGGAACAGGACACATAGAGAGGAAAGAGTACCTGGAGAATTAACCTATCAGGAAGGGAAGAATAGAGGGAAAGAGAGACAAAGAAGGAGAAAGGAGGCTTAGAAGAGGGAAAGAGAGGGAAGAGGAAGCTGAGGGTTTCTGAGACACATAATGAGGAAAGAGAGGAAGAATCTGATACTCACGGGTCGAATAGAGGGAAAGAGAGGGAAGAACAGGGAATTGGGACACATAATGAGGAAAGAGAGGAAATCTACATATCAGAATAGAGGGAAAGAGAGGAAAGCAGCTGAAGTTTCTGGGACACATAATGAGGAAAGAGGTCCCTGGAGAATCTGAGGGAAGAGGGTCGAATAGAGGAAAGAGAGGAAGAGGAAGGAAAGTTTTTGGGAGATAACATAGGGAGGAGAGACAGCCTGAAGTTTCTGGGACACACGGGAGGAAAGAGGAAAAAGAGGGAAGACACATATTAGAAAGGAGGGCCTGGGACACAATGAGGGAAAGAGGTCCTGAGAATCTGAAAGAAGAGGTCGAATAGAGGGAAGAGAGGAAGAGGCAGCTGAATTTTCTGGGACACATAATGAGGAAGGAGGGCCTGGAGAATCTGATACTCAAGGGTTGAATAGAGGAAGAGGGAAGAGAGGAAAAAAGCAGGAGTTTATTGGGAGGGAAGAGAGGAAAGACAGCTGAAGAATCTGGGACACATAATGAGGAAAGAGACTGGAGATATTAAAGAGAATAGAGAGGGAAGAGAGGCCTGGAGATATGATTGAGGGAATAGAGAGGAAAGGCACAGATATTATTCAGAGGGAAGACAGGGAAAGGAAGGAGGGCCTGGAGAATCTGATACTCACGGGTCGAATAGAGGGAAAGGAAAGAGGAGATATTATTCAGGAAGAGGCAGCTGAAGTTTCTGGGACACATAATGAGGAAGGAGGGCCTGGAGAATCTGATACCCAAGAGGAATAGAGGGAAAGAGAGACAAAGAAGGAGGAGGCTTATATTAATATCAGGAAGAGGCAGCTGAAGTTTCTGGGACACATAATGAGGAAAGAGGTCCCTAGAAGAATCTGATGGGAGGGGAAGAGGGAAAGGAATAGAGGGAAAGGAAGAGAGGGAAAGAGGAAAGGCAGATATTATTGACGAGAGGGAAGAGAGGAAAAGGCACAGATATTAGTTTCTGGGAGGGAAATGAGGAAGGAGGTCCTGGAGAATCTGATACTCAAGGGTTGAATAGAGGAAAGAGAGGGAAGATAGATATTATTAGAGGAAGATAAAGAAGGAAAGAGGACCTGGAGAATCTGATTCACGGGTTGAATAGAGGGAAAGAGAGGAAAAGAAACAGAGAGATATCAGGAAGAGGAAGAAGAGGGAAATAATGAGGAGAGATTATTGGAGAATCTGACTACAGATATTAATAGAGGAAAGAGAGAGAAAGAAGGAGGAGGCTTATACTTAAGAGAGGGAAGAGGCAGCTGAAGTTTCTGGGACACATAATGAGGAAAGAGGTCCTGGAGAATCTGATACTCACGGGTTGAATAGAGGAAAGAGAGACAAAGAAGGAGGAGGTTTTGGGACACTTAATATCAGGAAGAGGCAGCTGAAGTTTCTGGGACACATAATGAGGAAGGAGGTCCTGGAGAATCTGATACTCACGGGTTGAATAGAGGGAAGAGAGAAAGAAGGAGGAGGCTTATACTTAATATCAGGAAGAGGCAGCTGAAGTTTCTGGGAGACATAATGAGGAAGGAGGGCCTGGAGAATCTGATACCCACGGGTTGAATAGAGGAAAGAGAGAACAAAGAAGTTTCTGGGAGGAAAGAGGCCTGAGAATTGATACTCACGGGTCGAATATCAGGAAGAGGGAAGAGGCAGCTGAAGTTTCTGGGACACATAATGAGGAAAGGAGGGCCTGGAGAATCTGATACTCATGGGTCGAATAGACAAAGGAGGAGGCTTATACTTAATATCAGGAAGAGGCAGCTGAAGTTTCTGGGACACATAATGAGGAAAGAGGGCCTGGAGAATCATATACTCACGAGTCGAATAGACGGAAAGAGAGACAATGGAAAACAACATACCTAGTGGAGTTAAGCAAGGGGTTGACAGAACGTGGTCTGGGGGATGTAGCAGAGAGAATTAACTTTTTGATAGCTGCAAAGGATAGAAGGAGGTGGAGAGCCATGATCGGATAGGTCCTGAAAGGACATGGCACATAAAAAGAAAGAAAGAAAGCAATATCTTTTTCCTATTCTCTTGTTGATGACAGGTCAAATTTTAGGTTATTATTTTGTCTACAAGTCATTAAGTCTTTTAATGTTTTTAAAAGTAGTTTTTATGTTAAGCTGACACAAGTTTCGATTCCATTTCGTGTGTGGGACAATATATTTTGATACGTTGGCTTTGTAAGAATTATTCCAATGCATCACACAAAAAATGCTCTAAGTTGACATAAAGTTCCTGAAAAATTATTCCGATATATAGAATTCGTATAACGTTTTCACATTCCGAAAAATTAACTTAGAACACGAATATTTAATCTCAGACACTTCAAATATGATTCTGTGTGTTTTTGTTTTTTGTTTTTTTTTAGCAATAAATTTTATTTACATACCTTTTAGCAATTAACAATAAATAAATAAATAAATAACAGACATACATACATACAAACAATTATCCCGGAACACTGTATGTATATACAAATATAATTTCATCTCGTAACGTTTCACTTTTGGTATATTTTTAACAAGTGGTTTCTGTACATTCTAATCAAGGACACATGGCACAGTGGATAAAGGCGTTAGTTATATCCAGTGACAGGACCGGTTAAGGCAGTGGAGAACTTGGAGAGGGGAATTGACAGGAAATATTAAACATGGCACGTGGAACTAGAACAGTCTACGCCAGTGAGCGAAATAAAGGGTTCAGTTCGACATTCCAACCACCTGAAGAAGGCCTAAACGGTGTAATAAATATGGCGAGAAATGTGAGGACAGTAGTCCGAATAATGTAAATAGTGTACATAACACCTCATCTCAGATATATATATAGATACTGATAACATTCGAAACTTTTTTAAATCTCAATAACATGGAGTGTTTTGTTACCCCCAAATTGTTAAAGTACTCGTAATTTCTAGTTGGCAAATTGTTTGTTTTGCTCCCTCCAAGTATTCTTCTGACGCAGTGAGGGGTTTGTAGCACGGTTGTGGCGCAGTTATAGCTCAGTTTTCGTGTGAAGCAGACGTCGCTTTATCTTCTTCGGGGTTTCCTGTCACTCTTACCTAACTAAAGTAAGTCTTCCTCATTTTTTAGGTTTGTGTGCGTGTATATATGTATATGTGATAGTAATTATTATGAGGATTTGAGATAATTATAATTAAGTAATTCATCGAGTCTAGAAGAAACCTCAACAGAATGAAGAAAGCACTGGACGGCCGTTTCGTCCTATATTTGGGACTCATCGGCAGTGCGGATCCACTACCGAGAATTGAAACCCGGACAGTTGGGTCATCAGTCAAACGTCATACTAACGGGCATCGGTGACGAAGAGGTAACGAATTAGACTCGATAGAGCCCCGCTCGATCACATATTCCGTGGTGGATTCTGTTGAGGTTTTCTCTAGACCTGATGAATTATTTCATATATATATATATATATATATGATAGAAATTAAGAAGGATTATAGATAATTAAGTCAATTCATCTAGTCTAGAAGAAACCTCAACAGAATGCAGAAAGCACTGGACGGCCGTTTCGTCCTATATTTGGGACTCATCAGCAGTACGCATCCCTTACCGAGAATTCAAACCCGGACGGTTACGCTATCAGGCACAGTCCTATAGGTAAGGGAAACTCGGATGAGTTCCACCACAGAATATGTGATCGAGCGGCGCTATATCGAGTCTAATTCGCTACCTCTTCGTCACCGAGGCCAGTTGGTACAGTTGGTATGACGTTTGCCTGATAACGTAACTGTTCGGGTTTCGATTCCTGGTGGTGGGTGTGCGCTGCTGATGAGTACCAAATATAAGAGGAAACGGCCGTCCAGCATTCTGTTGAGGTTTCTTCTAGACTCGATGAATTACTTAATTATAGGTATATGTGTATACTAATTCTTTGTAATAAGACAGTATGTTTGTATGGAGATAATATACGTATACATATGTATGCTGACAAAAAAATGGAAATGACCCTCAGGGGTCATTGAAAGATAAGAATACAGATATCTTTCCTCAACCTTTCTTGGACCAAGCTTAATTGTTTTATTATCCTTTACGCAGAAGAACTGTTTCACTGCCAGTTCAAGGAAGTTATTTGGTTCCGTAACACACAAAAAAGAGAATGCCTAATATCGAGAATATTTAACACCGAAAATCGTAAGAAAAATGAATTCCTTTTAATAATGTGTGGCAATATCCACTCCTTGCCTGATGAAGTTCGCGAGACCGGAGACGTGTGTAGCAAAATTATGCAAAATAAAGCATTATATATCTTTTAACAAAAATCCACATTAGGACCAAAAACCTTTGCGGTTTGTTTCTTACTTTTAATATACACTTTTCTCTCGTTGGAACAACTATAACCTCTTCCCCCTATATATATATGTTAGATTTTGCCGACGCGTTTCGTCTTCCGAATTTTTCCAGGCAAAAATGAAATCGAAATGTTTTTGTTGTTATAGTTACATTAAAAAAATCCAAATTTAAAAAAGATAGACGCTTCTGTCTAAGCCTTTTTTTTTTAATTTAAATATATATATATATATATATATATATATATATATATATATATATATATATATATATATATATCAAAATTTCTCCGATTTAACCTGTATAGAAGACAATATTTATTCATATATATATATATATATATATATATATATATATATTTGCTTATTCCGAGAAATTTCTTAAAAAATATGCATCTTGACAGGAATCGAATCTGAAACCCCACTGGGAACTGTCATTTGATCTGTTGTGCTCTTAATCACTCAACCTTAAAGAAGCGTCAGGTTGACAAAGTCCGAATTACTGTTTATAAACAACAAATCTTCGACGAGCTTTTCCGAACGACCATATCTACTCGCGAAATGTACCTTAACGTAAACATTGACAACATATTATGAAATAGATTAAGTCCGACAGTTATTAAATAAGTTGCCAATCAGATCAAATGATGGTCCCATTTGGGTTACAAGTCCAATACCTGTGTGTAGTACGAGGTGTGGTGCTCAGTTGCCTCTATCTCAGGGTCAGACGCCAGCGAACTGTCCATTTTTCGAAAGCCGAGATAACTAACGCAGGCTTAAAAGAATAATAAAATGGTCTTATGTATATATGGCAATTATTCCATACTATTTTATATAAATGGATGGCTAACCACTCGTATCCGAGGATGCGCGTCTACGAGGGCGGCTAGACAATCTCTATGGCTAGACGCCCACTCAGGTATATTTGTGTAAGTTCAACACCCACAGAGCCCACCTAAGGTTTATACTGCAACTATGCTGAACAGACCTTAGTTACAGTTTCTGGGAGAGAGCGTGTTATCTAGCGTGATCAGCAATCTGAACAAAGACACTCAAAACCTCAGTCATTATCGACGTTCCCCAAGGGTTCCGTTGAACCAATTTCATTCGCAAGGCTTGGATCAAATCGTGGTGTGATTTTTTACGCATTTTCCAAAGGCGCCGCCCCTGGGATCACCTCCTCCTGGCTGACAATATAAAGAAGTTACCTTCCCGAAAAATTGACCATAGTAAGATTCGAACCCGGCTCATATGGAAAGCGAGCGTTTCAACTAGTGTCACCTACCATCTATCTATCTATCTATCTATCTATCTATCTATCTATATCTATCTATCTATCTATCTCAGTCTCATCATGTCTCTTTCTCTCTCTCTATCTTAGTCTCTTCATTATCTTTCTCACTCTCTTAGTCTGTTCATTATCTATCTATCTATCTATCTATCTATCTATCTATCTATCTATCTATCTATCGCAGTCTGTTCGTATATATCTCTCTTTTTCACATTTGCTCGATCTCAGCCTGTTCATGTCTGTCTGTCTGTCTGTCTATCTATCTATCTCAGTCTGTTTATATATCTCTATTTCCATATATATCTCATTACCACTATGTCTCACTCTGTTTATATCTACCTATCTAGCTCAGTTTGTTCATGATTATTTATTTCTATATATATTTCATTACCAGTTGTCTATCTCAGTCTGTCAATATCTATCTATCTATCTATCTATCTATCTATCTATCTATCTATCTATCTATTCCAGTCTGTTCATATCTATCTATCTATCTATCTATCTCAGTCTGTTCATATCTATCTATCTATCCCAGTCTGTTCATATCTATCTATCTATCTATCTATTTATCTATCTATCTATCTATCTATCTATCTATCTCAGTCTGTTCGTATCTATCTATCTATCTATCTATCTATCTATCTATCTATCTATCTATCTATCTCAGGCTGTTGATATCTACCTATCTTATTTTCATATTTACTGATTGTCGTCCAATATTCATTCAAATAAAAATTATGTAAATAGTAAGAATAATTTGTTCATTTGACAATTGCTTCTTTATTCCTATCCCTAATGTTTGTGTTTTATATATATATATATATATATATATATATATATATATATATATATTATATATATATGTATGTTTAAATTTAAACCTAAACATATTTAAAAGAAATACGAGAAAATCAGTCAATAAAAAATCAGCTACCTTTTGTAAATATTTCTTTTTCCAATATTCGGGGTACCCGTTCCAATTAATTTACAGTGTAGAATATCTTCTCTTGAAATGGTCTCCAGCTACCTTCTCACTTTGCGAAACTAATTTAAATTCTTTGTTCCAGGCTATCTTCGTCTTTGCCGAAAAGATTCTAGCATCCATATGCATGAGTTCGGTGCTTATATCCGGGAAAATCTTGCAATGTCAAAATTACGAATTTTCTCTTTTCCCGTCATCAATCAACGCCATTTTCCGACATCTGTCGTCAAGCGATAAAAAAAACTTATTTAAACACTTTTTTTTTAAATTAAAAGAAAAAAATATCTACGCCTCGTTAATACAGGAACTATTAATTTGCTGAATAGTGAACAAGATTAAACCAAAATTACTTACATTTTATTCTTTAAAAACAGTGAAAAACGACCTTTTTTGCGAGGGGGTCTCATTTTCTTATGCAGCAGTTGAAGTAGCAAGTAGCTTTGTAGAGTTGTTGACAGACAAACAGTAAGTGACGATATATTAAGGTAGGACGTATCTGACAAAATATTAGCGACAGCAATCCCTGAAACCTACATATTGTTTTCTGTATGCTTCACGATTTGAGCGATCATGGCTCTCCACAACGTACTGTCCTTTGTTGCAACAAAGCATCATTTATCTCTCTACAATTTCTGTTAATCCGCACTCTGCCCTCCTTTTATACAAACACATTAAGTGTGTTTCTAGCTTTTTCTCTCTGCCTCAACTTCATTCGATATGTCCCGTGAGTGTTAAATTCTCCTAGCCCCTTTCCTCATCAAAAAATAAATAAAACCGACACACATGATCACTGTGATCTAATATTTCTAGAATAGATTTACAATGCATATTTCTTTTTAAAATTCGATATAATTGTATACTTCATGATCCTTCTGGATTTGAATAATCATGGCTGTCTACAATTTCCTTTTAATGACCCCTTTGTATGGTTTAGATTTAGTGTAGTCTTCCAGTTTTTCATACTCTCCGTTAAAAATTTAACATTTGTAGGGCATACTCTGTATATTTTTAGGCTCTTCTTTATCCATGAGTGTGTAACACTGTCGAACGCCGTTCTGTAGTCGATCCATGCTATCGATCAGATTCTTTTCCTTGTTCTCACCCCTTCTACTATTGTTTTATTGATAATTATTTATGCCTTAAACCCATAACTTCCTCTTTTATGTCCCTTCTGTTTTGCTGGGAGTAAACTGTTTTTCTCCGTTATGATAAAAATAAGGATCTCGTACATTGTTGGTAGGCAAGTGATGGGTCTATAGTTCTTGAGGTTCTGCGTCTCTTCTGTTTTGGGGAGTAGGTATGTTACTCTCCGCGTGAGCCAGTTGAGGCATATATCTGGGTTTATAATTATATCATTGTATTCCCGTGCGAGGTCTTGTTGGGTGCTAGATAGGTTTTTTTTAATCTAAAAATTGGCTATTGAGTCTATTCCCGGTGCTTTCCAATTTTTGGATTTGCAAATGGCAGCGGTTGTTTTACTAATATTGAATCCATCGATTTTTGGCACTGTATCTGTGCGTGTTGTTCACGTTGCTTGATCTAAGTAGCTCTTTCATTGTGCATTTTGTAGTGTTCCCACATCTTACACCAGAACTCCTCGACTTCCTGTATATTAGGCGGATCATAGGCTCTGTCTTATTTTTCCCGGTTCTTGATATAGATTCTTGACATCTTTGAATATCTTCTTTTGACAGAAGAATCATAATGCCTTATTCATTGCGCCTTTATTGCTTCAGATTCTTTTTAAATTTTGGTATGTCAGTCTTAATCATTACGTCAAAGCTACGTTTCACTTGTCTCTTTTTCTTTCATTTTGGCGCCCTTGTCTACTTCACTTAGAAGTGACAATTGTTCTCGTAGTTCAGGACATAGTTATTAAAGGTCTACTAGACCGAAACGTCTGACGTCGACATTAAATTGATATTAAAACAGCATAATTGCATATTCGGATTTTTGTTTTTCCATATATTTTCTTCATACTGTCGGATCTGTATCCATATATTTGCTTATATATATATATATATATATATATATATATATATATATATATATATATATGTGTGTGTGTGTGTGTGTGTGTGTATCAGTGATTTTCAATACTGCATACCTATTATTTATCCCTTATATTGTATCATATCAATAACAAACATATCATTCTCTCAAATATTCAAACTGTTGCCTCCCCGTCATTTATTTACTTAGTTATTATTTATTAAATAATTATAATAACTATATTATAATAAAAATCATGAAAATAAACTGTGGTGACCTAGAAAAGGTTCCTCAAGGAAGAATAACCAAAACGGAGGTTGGAAATGAAGTGATAATCTTTATAACATTATCAAAGTATAATACTTGCCAGCGGCGTGAAGTAGGTAAACCACTGCTAGTGATGGACTACTTAGACACCATGTTCCTCTCATTCAAATTGGCGTCTACCGTATTTATGATGATTAGGACATGCCCACTAGTGATCTTAGTTACGGTATAAAACAATTACATTTGTCATTCCTGCCCATTTGTATATTGTCGGATATAAAACGCAGGGTCGTTCAACTTATAACACACCCACTCGTTCACAATTCTTTTTTGGTTGCTCCGGAAATATTGTCTTCCGGTTTAATGTTTTACCGATTCCTTTCGGTTATGAATCTCTTTTTTAGTTTATGACAGGTTAAAGGTAGGGGGGTGTATCAAGTTATATTTAGGAATGGAGAAACAGCCAGGACCGACGAACTTCGCCGGTAATTTACGATAATTCCTTTTACATAACAAATAATGATAACATCAACAGCAATAATTATAATAGTAATACTACTAGTAATAATAATAATGTTCTAACCTAGAAAAGGTTACTGAATAGGGAATAACCAAAAAATAGTAATCTTTATAACATCAGCAAAATACAATACTCACCAGCGGCGTGAAGTAGGTAAACCACTGCTATTTGTGGACTACTTTAGACAGCATGTTACCCCCACCACACACACATAATTACAATAGTGTCCAATATATTTATCAGGGTTGAGGCATACCCATTAGTGTTCATAGGTACGGTATATAACAATAGATAATGAAGAAACTGAGATAGATAGATAGATATATAAGTAGATATATAAAGAAGACGCGGAGATAGATAGATAGATAGATAGATAGATAGTGTTGTAGAAAGGGTTATTGAAAACATCAATAAAATACAATACTCGCCAGCGGCGTGAAGTAGGTAATCAACTGTTAGTGGTGGACTACTTAGCATATTACCCCCACGTCCAACGTATTTGTGAGTATTGGGACATACCCATTAGTGTCCATTTGTACGGTACATAACAATAGATAATGAAGAGACAGAGATATATAGATATATAGGTAGATAGATAACGAAGCCACACAGATAGATAGATAGATAGATAGATAGATAGATAGATAGATAGATAGATAGATAGATAGATAGATAGATGTTGTAAACTAGAAAAGGTTACTGAATGAGGAATAACCAAAACAGAGCTTGGAAATGAAATGGTGCTCTTTATAACATCAACAAAATACGATACTCGCCAGCGGCGTGAAGTAGGTAAACCACTGCTAGTGGTGCACTACTTTAGACAGCATATTACCCCCACTGATAGTAGTGTCCAACGTATTCATGTGGATTAGGACATACTCATTAGCTTTAGGCAGCATATTACCCTCACTGATAATAGTGTCCAACGTATTCATGTGGATTAGGACATACTCATTACCTTTCATAAGCACTCTGTATAACAATAGATAATGAAGAGATAGATATAGATAGATATATAGTTAGATAACAAAAACAAATAGATAGATAGATAGATAGATAGATAGATAGATAGATAGATAGATTTTGTAACCTAGAAAGGATTAGTGAATGAGGTATAACCAAAACGGAGGTTAATTTTTATAACATCAACAAAATGCAATACTCGCCAGCGGCGTGAAGTAGGTAAACCACTGCTAGTGGTGGACTACTTAGACAGCATATTACCCCCACATACAATAGTGTCCAACACGTATTTATGAAGATTGGGACATTCTCGTTCATATGTACGGTATATGACATAAATATATTAAAAATTATTTTATTCATTTAAATTAAAATGCCATGAAAAATGGATCAATATATACATATATACATTGATACAGGGGGTTGCAAATTTAAATGAATCCTAGAACCGCTATTATAATCAGTCAGTTATGTACCATTCCTGATACACGTTTAGGCGATCATGCATCTTTTGATACATGACTGAAAAGTCAGATTTTTCCCGCAGTAGGTTGCCATTTTTTTCTGCAGTAGACGAGTTGCCATCAAAGGCTATAAGATCCGTTCTGTCCTGCTATTTACCCATAGCTGGGGGAAGAAAAAAGAGGATTCATACCTTTCCCAAGGGTATTAACAAGTAAATGAATGTAATGAATTCGATTGGAATTCGAACTCGGCTCTCCGATTCCTCAATCCGTTTTTTTATCTATTACTCCACCGCCTTTATAATTTTAAGTTATTTGATGATCAAAAAATGACGTAATAATGTCGTTTTTGACGTACAAACAATACGTCAAAAAACGACATTCTTACGTCATTATTTTGCACCAACCTAATAGTATAATATATACTGTATACCTACTTTTGCATCCCCATTTGTATGAATGTATGTATAAATTGATCCATTCTTCATGCCATTTTCCAATGTAATAAATTTACATTCCTAGCTACCAGACATCTATAACTAACACCCTCCCCTGTACAAGCGGAGAGTGTATTTACTCTTATACCACAACCTCACCCTATATCTTGTCTATGAAGAAACCAGGCCGATATGTCGCTTATGTTAGGCGGATGTCCAAACCCATTATGGACATGCCTGGTGGCCCTGGGTACGGCAACCCGTTAACACTGACCGCAGGGTACGAGCAGCACACGCACAAGCAGGGCGAATTTATCAATTAGCTAATGGCCGATGGCGTTTCGACAGCAGAAGATGACCCTTCAGACATGTAGCTTTCTAACCCGCCGGTGCCTTCAAAATTCGTCTCATTAATACCTTTTCCTTATATGCTCCCAAGGAATAGTTTCATGTGCTGAAGCTGTAAGAGGAGGCGTTCAAGCACTAAGAGCCAGAGGCACGTTTTTACGTATCCTGACCAAAATACAGTGGCGGAGCTGGGGCGAGAAAGATCCTTGTCATGATTTCTCTCTTTTTAGTCTTTCTCTTTCCCATTTAGTGTGTGTCCCTCGTCTCTTACTCTCACCAAAAGCGAGACCCTGGAGCAAAGCAATGTAAGACTCGGATGAATATATCAGATTGAACGTCGAAAACAATTTTTTTTTATCATCCTCCCCACTTTCAGCATTACTGTAATGAAATGTTGAAGAAAGAAAACGGGACGCTTTAATTCCGATTCTAGACGATTCTGTTGCGTAGATCATGTTTCTCCACAACTTCCTATCCTATTCTAAACAAACTTTGGTCGCGTAATATTACTTCCGGCTCCTATTCAGCCATCCAGTTAAACACTCTCGTTTAATAGGTTACTCGTTCTTCTCCCATGTCCGTCTTGCCTTAAATATATCCTATCGGTGTCATTTTCTCCGAGCCTTCTTTCCTCATTATGCGTTCCGTGAATTTCAATTGTCTCTTTCTGATTCTATGAGCATGTGTGCTTTTTAATGTTTCGTTACATGAAGCATGTTTTCGTTTGTTTTAATCTTTGTCTCTTGTCTTTTAGGTTTAGTCTCTTGTCTTATCAACCTCAATGAGTTATTTAATGCTGATAAGATTTTTATTGCTCGTAATATTTGGCTTAATAAATGTATTGCTAGTATTTTTTCCTTCAAAAATATAGTACTGGCAATATTTTTTCAAAAAAAAATGTATAGCTGGTTATTTTATTTTCGAAATGTCTAGTAGGGTTTAAAATATTGAAACAAAAAAGAAAAATCAACCAAAATGGGTTATTTAATGCTACAAGATTTTTTATTGATCGTAATATAGTTTTTTAATAAATGTATTCACAGGTTTTTTCCTTCAAAAATAGTATTGGCAATATTTTTCAAAAAAAATTATGGATGGTAATTTTATTTTTAAAATGTCTAGTTTCGTTTTTTTTTGTTTACTTTTTTGAAACCTCAATGGGTTATTTAATATGAAATGATTTTAGATGTTGTAATTTTTTTTTGAATAAACAATTTGGCTATTTTTAAAGAATATTGGCAATTTTTAATAGAAAAATGCAGTTTAAAATTTTTGTTTTGTTTTTTACTGAGAATGGGTTATTTACTAATGACAATTTTTTATTGTTGATAAAATTTTGAAAAAAAATATATTGCTGGTAATATTTTTTCAAAAAAAGCAAAACCTCGTTTTTTTTTCATGGTTATCTATCAAATATATTTGTTATCATTAAACAATGATTAAATGTTAGGCATAAACCTGGGAAATTGATTAAGAGGTGGTTCCAAATTTAAAATAGCGGTGTTAAATCCTTACTTTCGGATGTAGTTTATCGTCAAATCAGAACATAGCAGGAAATCGACATTTCTTTATTTTCAGTAATCTGTATGTTTATTAAAAGTTCTCTGGTACCATTAGGATTATTTACAACGTCCTGGCGGAATCGAACCCGTTTTTTATAAGACAATAATCTAGACATCACATTAATGAAATAATTTATCCAAATTTTGATTGTTATTTTGATTTTCATCACAAACCAGGGCAAAACCTTAGGATTCTAAAGGCAAAATGAAATTAAACTTTTATCAAATGCATAAAAAATAAAAAAAAGTTTTTTTTTTTTTTTACTAGAGATAATGGTTAATCTGACAACTTAAAGATGTCAACATAGAGCGATTGGTAAATCATTCCAATTATGAGTTATGTTCCAAAAAAAAATCATGGGTTCTTTAAATTCCATATTATAACTTGATTCTTTCTATTAAAATACAAAAAATTTTTTTCATGATGACTTGTTTATACAATCTTTTCTCGCTAGATCAATTACGACTGAGTAGTAAGTTCGACCTTTTTCACTGGGTGCCCCATACTTTCGGCCTATTGCCACATCAAGCTGCTGTAATGCGGCTGGAGAGTACATGGGCACCAAAAAGGCGACTTAATTTCAAATGTCATTGCTAGATCAATTACGATTGAGTTAATATTTTTTCGATAAAATCATTTTCCTTTAAATTGTTTCGTTCCTGTGCCACATTATTATATGCTTGGAAAATCACTATTCAAATACGAATGGAAAGGAATTGAAATATTGTGTAAGTGGCATTGGTGGGAATTAGTTGAAAACAAGATTTTGGTGGAATTATGAATTAATGTATAAGCTTTGTCAAATATAGCCATTTAATTAACGATAGAAAGTAGGTTTCTATATAATATTAGTATCTATATAATTTGTATCTATATATTAAGAGTATCTATCTAATTATTCAATAGAATTGACTTATCATTTTGATTGTCTAATAACGAATCAATAACCTCGTGAAACAAATATAAAAATAACCAATTCGAATGGGCAAATTCATTTCCTTTTTCATCTATCTATTATTTTTGATGAATTTGGCGTGTAAAGACAAAATACGGGCTGTTTAAATGGCAAGGATATTCAGAGAAAATGTGATTCTTTATTAAGACTATGTGAAAGAAAATACCTATACATAATATAACAATAACAAACGATTAACACACACACATCAGAAAACAACGGTGTTTAAAAAATTATGCATCATTTTGTTGTGTAATAACACCAAAATCATGATAAATGACCATTCAAATTTTAGTAGATGAACTATGTGATTTGAAATGATAGTCGAAATATATCATAATTTAAAATGACTAGAATGAGGATTTCGATGAGAAATTTCGAATTAAGAAGAAAAAAATAAGGTCTTATAAAGTTATTTTCAAATAAAATGGCTAGATAAGAATAAGTTCTATGTAAGCTGATTATATTTTTTTATATAGAACTTCTCTTTGTTGAAAATCTTCAAAAATTCAAACTTTAGTCAATTTTGATCTCTTAGAAAAAAAGATGAAATGTTTAACCAGTTGTTTTTGAGAATATTTACGATTTTAGTTGTTGATAAATGTTAAATATCTGTTCTAAAATAAATTTATATCATAATATGTAGTATATAAATTTTAGTATATATAAAAATTGAATCAGATTAAATATCTTCTTTAGAAATATATAAGTTATTGATGAAAATTCATTATATTATTGCGTCTGCAACAGTTTGAAAAATGTTTTATTGTGTTTTAGATTTAAAAAGAAAAACGTATAAATAAAAAATTTAGTTAATAATGAAAAAATAGAAAAAAATTTTACGGGATAAATAAATAAAAAATATAGTGACATGAATTTTATAGAAAGATGGGAAACGATGTCAAAAGAATGAAAATGTTTGAGAAATTTATTGGAATTTATTTTTTAAAACTAAAAAAAACAGACGAAAATAGTATTTTGGAGAAGTATAACACAATAAATAAATGTTGATATTGATTACACCATGTAATCAAGAATGAATGCATGTAAGATAAATCAAGACAAATAAACCAACCATCCCTAACTTAAAGTACTAGAGCGAAAAAAATTATAAATAAGAAATTTTTTTTTGTCTGTATATTAAAAAAAAATTTTTAGTTTATTCTTTTATATACGAAGACAATTATCCGTATTCTGAACGAATGCGAATCAGTACGAAGATTTTGGATCCATTTTTCAAGATATCTTATTCACTTTTTGCATTGTCGGTTCATTTTTTCTTTGAAAGGATCATAAATATGAATTTTAAATAGAATACTTAAAATGGCTAAAAATGCATGTTTTTTATATATTTAAATTAAAAACAAAAAAAAAAAAACAATATATAAATATATATATATAAATTGATGTTTACAATATATATATTTTTTATATTTTGTATGTCTGCATAAATGTGCGTATATATGTTAAATATATGTATGTGTATAACAAAAATTTATAATGGATATGAATATGAAAAAAAATATATTTTTTATACTTATTTTTATATTTTATTTATATGTATATATATTTATCTTATATATAAATGATAATGCTGGATTTTTTAGTTGTTTGTATATATGTTTATATATGTATGTAAATTTTGATAGAAACACATATTATTTAAGGTAGTTCTTTTTATCTTATTTTGTTTCACCTAATATATAATAAAACTACAGATAATTATATGATTGAAATATATATTTTTATATATATTTATATATTTGAAATATTTCGTTTTTTAATATATTAAATAATATTATTTTAACCATTTTTATATTTATATATTATTTCTATTTAAATATTATATTTTAATAAGTGGCTAGCATTTGTTTAATAAAACTTTCAGCCTTAAATATTTATTTTATTTTTTTGTGGTATCTGATTGTTAAAAGGTCAATGTCTGTGGATGTGTGTACATGTATTTATATATGTCTATATGTATGGAAATGCATTCACTTTTTTTAATTGTGTATGTATGTAGGTTTTGTTCCCCCTCATTTTTTCATGAAGGGCCGTGGAGATGTTCCAATCTTATCACTTTTTTGTGTGTATATATATCTAAATATGTCTGGGTGCTTATGTATTATAATCTGATTGCTGTTTGTGTTTTTTTACGCGTGAGTTTATATAACCCCATTCACATGTTTTAAAATGGGATACTAAAAAATATATTTACAAAAAATTGTTACAAATGACCGGATATAAAAGCGAACACAAAACGTAATTTCAACGAAGAAATAAATTGAATAACATATGTATTTTTCTTTTCTCCTCAATAATTTTATAATTTTTAAACTTAATAGTGATTAAATTTGGATTTTAAAATTGGCAGTTTTTTAAATTTTAATATCAAATTTTATCATATAATTTAATAATTATTGGTTAGAATAAATTTTTTTTAATATTACCCCTGTATTTTAAAGATCTGAATAGCTATTATAACATGAATTTCGTTGTCAAGCTTTTTTGAATTTTCCTATACTTGTATTTTGATTGGTCATTCTAGCTTTTGTAACAACGTTTTCCCTTGTGAAGGATCGTTAATTAATTTGAAACTTTTAAAACCATTTATTTTACATTCAACATCATCACTTGATAAGACACAGGGGGTGTTGAAACAAAAATGGCTATTTTTGTAGTGATTTTTTATAACATATTTATGTTATAAATTTTTTTTTAAAAAAAATTATATATATATATATATATATATATATATATATATATATATATATATATATTATATATATATATATACATAAATACAATATATATATATATATATATATTATATATATATATATATATATATATATATATATATATATATATATATATATATATATATATATATATAATGGACTCTCCTGTCGGTTTCGACGTATGAGGATCTGACAG